ATAATGACCAACCAAAAATGCAATAATGACCAGACATATATGTAATAATCACCACCCATAAATGTAATAATGACCAGCCATATATGTAATAATGACCAGCCATATATGTAATAATGACCAACCATAAATGTAATAATGACCAGCCATATATGTAATAATGACCAACCATAAATGTAATAATGACCAAACATAAATGTAATAATGACCAGCCATAAATGTAATAATGAACAACCATAAATGTAATAATGACCAGCCATATATGTAATAATGACCAACCATAAATGTAATAATCACCACCCATAAATGTAATAAAAATCAACCTTATATGTAATAATAACCAACCATAAATGTAATAATCACCAACCATAAATGTAATAATGACCGGCCATAAATGTAACAATGACCAACCATAAATGTAATAATGACCAGCCATATATGTAATAATCACCACCCATAAATGTAATAATGACCAGCCATATATGTAATAATCACCACCCATAAATGTGACAATGACCAACCATAAATGTAATAATGACCAGCCATATATGTAATAATCACCACCCATAAATGTAATAATGACCAGCCATATATGTAATAATCACCAACCATAAATGTAATAATGACAACCATAAATGTAATAATCATCACCCATAAATGTAATAATCACCAACCATAAATGTAATAATGACCAACCATCAATGTAATAATCACCACCCATAAATGTAATAATGACCACCCATAAATGTAATAATGACCAGCCATAAATGTAAAAATCACCACCCATAAATGTAATAATGGCCAACCATAAATGTAATAATGACCAGCCATAAATGTAATAATGACCAAACATAAATGTAATAATGACCAGCCATATATGTGATAATCACCAACCATAAATGTAATAATGACAACCATAAATGTAATAATGACCAGCCATAATTGTAATAATGGCCAGCCATAAATGTAATAATGACCAGCCATAAATGTAATAATGACCAGCCATAAATGTAATAATGACCAGCCATAAATGTAATAATCACCAACCATAAATGTAATAATCACCAACCATAAATGTAATAATCACCAACCATAAATGTAATAATCACCAATCATAAATGTAATAATGACCAGCCATATATGTAATAATGACCAAACATAAATGTAATAATGACCAGCCATATATGTAATAATCACCAACCATAAATGTAATAATCACCAGCCATATATGTAATAATGACCAACCATAAATGTAATAATGACCACCCATCAATGTAATAATGACCAACCATATATGTAATAATGACCACCCATAAATGTAATAATCACCAACCATAAATGTAATAATCACCAACCATAAATGTAATAATGACCAACCATAAATGTAATAATGACCAACTATAAATGTAATAATCACCAGCCATATATGTAATAATGACCAACCATAAATGTAATAATGACCACCCATCAATGTAATAATGACCAACCATAAATGTAATAATGACAACCATAAATGTAATAATGACCAACAATAAATGTAATAATCACCAACCATAAATGTAATAATCACCAGCCATATATGTAATAATGACCAACCATAAATGTAATAATGACCACCCATCAATGTAATAATGACCAACCATAAATGTAATAATGACCACCCATAAATGTAATAATGACCAACCATATATGTAATAATGACCACCCATAAATGTAATAATGACCAACCATATATGTAATAATGACCACCCATAAATGTAATAATCACCAACCATAAATGTAATAATCACCAACCATAAATGTAATAATGACCAACCATAAATGTAATAATGACCACCCATAAATGTAATAATGACCAACCATAAATGTAATAATGACCAACCATATATGTAATAATCACCAACCATAAATGTAATAATCACCAACCATAAATTTAATTTCCAGTTTACTGCAAGATCTCGCGTAATGCGTGAGCGGCGTGGATAGAACGTTTGCGGCAAAAATCTAATGATTTGATTTTTTACTTGAATTTCTTTTTCTCATAGTACAATGTCGAATTTCTTTGTTCAGAGACCTTGATAATCACCAAATGTGTTCAGCACATTATTAAGCCTGGAAATAGCCACAATTTGGTTTTGCGTTTATCAACGGAAAATAGTCGATTGCATCTGTGACTTTTGTCGTAATAACTAGCTGCGGACCGGTTTTAATCGGGCAGTATTTCTTGGGAAAACACTCAAAATTATTCTACCACGTTCATCACATACTCAATTATAGATTACTACAATAATTTACGCCAAACATAATTTTAAAAGCGTAAGCTGTGAACGTCTACCAATTGCTTGCTGTGTCATTCAATAAACAAAGTGGCGCGAGCTCAAACAAACTCTATAACGAAACTACCAGACAATCCGGAACCAACATTTAAAATCCGTATGCAAATGCCACACATAAAACGCCCGGAATTTGACCATATGATCAAAACACGTACGTTTTTAAAGGCAGGTGTATAAGTTAGGATGTGTCAGCCTATATGTTTGCACACATAAATTTACACGATGTACTACTTACTCGAAAACGACAGAAATGAGTCTGTAGGGTAGACAGACATTTACTCGATGTTTCATTGTGAAGGCCGATGATCAAATACCATTAAACTAATAATATATACGGCCTTGATACGCCATTCATTGAAGTGAAAAGCCACACTTATAAGTAATAGACTGGCAATTATTGTATTTGTACTTTAGATCTGGAGTACTTAGCTAAATGTATTTGTACAGGAAATTCTTAGACTTTACGTGTAGTTTTTATAATGTACGGTTTTTAAGTCGTGTGTATGACGGAAGTGTGGACATTGTCTACAATACATACAAGACTGAGTAGCAGACTGACTTGTCTGGTTGCATTAAAACTAAATTACGAAATTCGCATCACTCATGTTTTGTAGTGTTGAAAACGTAAATAATAAGGTGGCGTATTAGATTTGGTGCCGAATCAGAAAAAAATGTAAAATTAGTTTTTGAGAAACGAAACATATTTACTTAATATACTCGAAATTGCAACTCATGTTTGATATGTTTTCTTGTGACAACAGCTTTCTACATAACACATACAGGCTTAGCAATTAATAAAAAAAAACATAGCGTCAAAATCATAATATGCATCTATGAGACTCGTTTAGCTGAATTACACATTATAAAGTAGATTGTTCAATTGGAATTCAATATACGTTTATACAACACATATTGCAGGTAAAACTGTGAAGCAATGGAACTCCATCATCCGAGTGGAATATGCACAGATCTATTTCGAAAATAACACTCCATCGATTACACTAAATTAGTTACTTGCAAATAACTTTGATACCTCACGAAATGTTTCTACTGTTTGTCATCGGATAATGTTGTTGCCTATGTTCGTCTATGTAGTGCGCAATACCACTTACCTAAACCAGACTATACACTTATAACATCTTATAATGACTCGGATATTCTTACTTAAATATCGGAATAGAGTCCAGTGCCATTTCTTGGTCGTGACATCCACACATATTTCATCAGTTTGTATATGTACGATATCACGACGTGTCTTCGTGATAATTTGTGTTGTGTTCAATGACTTGTATAAATTCCCTCGACGAATTACGTATTTATATATTGATTATTTATAGTGTTATATCTATGCATTTTATAACGGTGATTTGGGTGAGTCTGCTACATAGATTTCTAGAAACATCACCAGGCACACGTATATGGAAATTGAGAATGCATCGTTATTTTAGATAAACATTGTTCAGTAGTTTAAGCTGAAAACTATTTTGATTTATAACTTCGGTGTTGGGGGGTGGCAGGCACGGGATGATGACAAGTAATGAGCTATTCACGAGGGATATCACGCTAGGTGTAAATACGCGCGATTAGTTTAACCCGAGTAATCAATTCTAGTCCAAATATGTAAAAAAATGAATTATTATGTTTAAACACCACTACGGACGATACATTGAGACAGTCGAGATTAAAATGAATAAACTGAATCGTTGACATTTTCGCTTTGTGGATATATCTATGTTTGAAAATGACCGACATGCAGATTTAGATACACAAGACGTGCCAAAGTAATTTTCCCGTTTATCTCGGCTTTAGACATTATATGTCAACGCTAATGTCGATGAAGAAAACGGGATTTGATTCTAATAATAAAAAAGCGTAACCTAGGGGCATCACAGCTTGAAAGAGTATCCGACTGAACTCCCGGTCGGTCTACTTCAAACTGCTCTCGTCGTAGCGGGTTTACTTTGTTTTGACATGGCTACTGTAGGAACCATTAAGGTCGTCTTCGCCCAAAGCATTTATCGGTAATGTTGCCAATTTAAATCCATTAACCGTATTGTTCCATTGAAGACATATCTGCACGGTTCTATTATTTTCTCATCACAGCGTGCACGTGTATTATGTATGATTTAAGTAAGTCCATACCTGTGACTAATTAGCCGGCAGAGCTGGCGATCACTGCTCATTGAAACCTTCATACCAAAATATACCATGTTTATCATACGAGTTATTTTTAGATTGTCAAAGTTCAAAAATCGAAAACCATTAGTATAATATATGTTGTCATAGTATACACATCATAATACCCTAGCGTGTTTCTCTGAAAGGTCAAAGTTCATAACTGTCTAGGAGCGGCACGATATTTTCATAAAAAGTACGTGACATGAAATAACAAAATCAGATCTTCGATTGTCAAATTAAATGGAGTGGGGGGGGGGCTTCCACTGAATATAGTAACACACCATCCCAAATTGCCCTATCTTGATCTAAAGACTCAAAACGATAACTTAATATAGGAATGTTCGCTCTGAACGGAGTATCGTCTTTGTGAATTGACGCTCGTTTCCCAGTTCCAATTGAGAATTATTTAGTCTCATTTGTACGTCACAAAATGGTACGTTTTTGTATGCAAAATGATAACTTACTAGAATTGCGTATTATTTTTTTTAGCAAAGGCAACAAACTCCCGCCTGGAATTTCAGGACGTGGAACAAGTTGGATACGCACTTTTACTTGGGAAGACATTTCCTGAGTTGACAGCGTTTACGGCGAGCATGTGGGTGAGAACAAAGCATACTAACAACAGGGCTGTGTATATGTCGTACAAAGCTGAAGGCAAGACTCGCATTATGATTGAAAGTGAAAAGAGCACTACCAAACTTTTTGTTGGCGACGAAAGTGTGAGAGCACCTATTGACCTAGACAAGAATTTTAAATGGCACCACATGGTATTCACTTGGACCAATCAGGGTGAGTTATTCACACCACGTGGAATTAACATCTACGAATCAAGATGAGTTATTCACACCACGTGGAATTAACTTCTACGAATTAAAATGAGGTAATGGCGTGGCATGGCGTTTACAAAGACAAATCCGGGCGATGTCATGGCATCACATGGCTGCAAATCGCCAAGAATTATTAAGAAAACCATTTTTTAAAAGATGCCGCTCCTTGCAATACGCTAGTGCATTTCTTTCTCCATTGACATTCCATTAACGTGCGTTGAACGAAAGAATTGTACTGTCGAAATGTTTGCAATGTTTATAATGCACGATAATTTCGCAATATTCTGCAAAAATCAGTGCAGTTCAACAACTTAATAATGTGACATCGTTCGTAGTGTCTAGACGTAGCACACGTTGACTCAAAGAAATTCAGCGACAATGCAGCCGTCGATTATTATAAACGTGACGTTGATAACCCCAAATAAAAGAAATCAGGCTAGTCATTGCCCGGTGTTGATAAAAAAGCGTCGCCCGTTTTACGACATGCCACTACACTATATCGAATGTACCTTTGATAAGGTTATAATTATTGTTTCAGTAAATTACTAAAAAAATGTTGCCCGCTGCTCAGGTTGAACTGTCGAGCTGCATTGAATGTTGCTGTTAATCACCGTTGTCGATATTTCACAATTCGGTATACGCGAATACTAACAGGGATGGTAACTTTACAGTAGAGTAATAAACACTGAAAATTCAATGTTTAACCTCAAAGTTTGGTAAAAAATTAATGTTTTTTTGAATACTTTTTAAGTCCAATCTCGAGGTTATATCATACGGATACACTGACATATTAAGGATGAGACCCAAGTTCGTGGCATCATTTTGGACATTTTTTTTGCATATTTTCAAATGTTGCAAGGTTGTCTTCACACTAGTAAAACAAAATAGTTAATTTTGTATAAAAATGCGACGATAAACAGCTACGCGTGTCATTGTTTTTCTACGACGAGGCTAATTAAAATAGATTGACAGACGATTATGCAAATCATTGCCTCCTTCTCGTTGAAAGTTCTGCGCATGCTCCACTCAGTCATTAAATCAACAACATGGCTGCCGCCGGTGCTAACACGTTTATATCGTAAAAAGTTCCTCGTAAAAAGAGAAAACCTGGTCCGCCCAAAACAAAAAAAACACATGAATGTAGAGGTAAAGTTCGACCTAAAACTATCTGATGCGAGTTCATAATACGACCAAGATGTTTTCTTGAGTTCTGACTTCGATTCGGGCTGTCACTACACGATGACGCTTTGGACCACAGTCACTCTTTGTTGAAGGACTGTGTTTTGGCGAAGCAGCAATGACGTACAAGAAAATTAATATTACACGAATCAACATCTTTTCTGAGTACAAATCATTTTGTGTAATATATTCGTAGTTTAGACTGCTCACGTGGGTGGTGCTGCGTCAACAACAACTAATTTACTTTCAACGTACGCGACCAACCGGACGCGACAGAACTGAGAACTAGATAGAACTTCAGAATCGAGCTCTGTTAGGATGTCATTTATCACGCTAACATGGCTTATGACCTAATCCCACGTATTCATTACACTTTGCGTTTATTTTTGTGGTAAGATTAAATCGTCACGGTTGTTCTCCCACGTTTGCTCAGTAATCACGTGACGCCATTTTACCAAGTGGTTTCCGAAACTTCGTTGCATTTCCCCCAAAAATATCCGTCGCCGTATGATTTTTTTCGTCGATCGGGACGTCAAAGATACGAGTATTATCCAAGCAAATTACCATGAAAAAAAATATCGTTTCAAATAGGTTTCCAGTCGAATAGAAAGACAAGAAATTACTTTTATGCAAATTTGCCGTTTTCGAGCCTTTCATTTTGGCACTACGCGCAATACTTTAATAGACGTCTTACAGACACAGGATCAATGGAACAGTTCAATTTTTTCACAGAAGATTCTTATCTAGTATACCAATAACTGTACGTATCGCATTATTCGATAAACTTATTAAAACGACAGAAATCTTGAGTAGAATAAAAACAAACGTTAATTTATTCATAAATTGAAAAGTTTTCACTTTTGACCCCCATTTCAAGAAAACAAAAGCATGCAGTACACTGTCCGGACACGGTTTGATTCCCAGTCTGCTGATCAGTTTTTAACAATAGACAGGATGTCTGCAACTTCAGTATGTTTTCCGTACGTCTGTTTTGAGTGAAAAAACACTAATACACTTCACTAGTTTGAGAAAAAAACATTTTTTCATACAATTCACACAGAGCTAACTAAAAATATATAACATGTGGGTGTTCAAATGCCATCTTCACTGTGAAATACAGGTTTGAATATAAGCGCAAACGAACCTGGTCTCATCTCATGTTGGTATTCCGGGAAGATATGATGTTATTTAACGGTTCATCCCAGAGCGTATTCGCCGACACAGTGAATGTAATGTTATATCATTACTTGAGGCACAGTCCCTCTATTCCCATGCACGATTTGTTATTCCTAGAGGGTATGAAATGAGTAGTTTTAAAAAGTTCCCTCATAAAAACTAAACATGTAATAGTAATAGCATTGATTTAGAACTACGTATAATCTGTTTCAGCAAGTGTACGACCTGCATATTTTGCAATCCTGACAAGAATACGTTCATGCTGTTTTTTTTTTATTTTCCGGGAAACTGAATCTCGTTGCTTTTGATATTTAAGTGGCGACCTCCCCCGTGGTGCTAGCAATCACACTTATGCGATTTAACACTCATGCAGCCTGAAGTGACCTTAATTGACACAGATTGAACAGGCAGACTGCTCGGTAAACGGTGTTCATCAACCGTCCTTTTAAAAAAAGGTTGACATAATACGCGCCAGTGAGGAATGCATAATAGGGACATGCAACGTTACGAATTAATTGATAGATGAAGTAGGAATAAAAAATCGTGCATGGGGGGATGCATATTGGCAACGTGACGCAATCGTGACGTCAGAAGTGTCATCTATTTAAATAATAGATCATATCTCAGTGCGGACAGTAGACAAACAGGATTAATATATGCGTTAATCCTAATAACTGGTATTTATTATTACAAACCTAATTATAGAGTCAATCATTTCGAGATACGAAATTTGGAAACAATAAGTCGAAGTTATTGTACAGTGTCAAAAGCCTATATGTCCTTTACAGCCGATTTCTACTAGCGATACATCGCTACATTTTTACTAGCAACATCGACGTTTCTGTCTTTATTTGAAATACACGATCAAACCCTGTCCCTGTTGTTTCATATTCTCTCAACATATAATATTTCTGATTACATTACAGAAGGCGTTTGGTCAGCCCACCTCGACGGCCAGCGCATTTTAGAAGGGCGTGGACTGTCAAGTGGAATTGTAATACCCGATTCTGGAGAATTTGTTCTCGGTCAAGCACCGAGAATGGCAAAGACTCTCGAGTTTAACACGACACTCAAGTATATCGGCGATTTAAGTCACGTGAACATATGGTCGTATGCAATGAATGACAGTGAAATACAGAGTTTGACCGAAGACTGTACTTTCATGGAGTGCGGGGATGCTGTACAATGGGTGGACTTCAGAAGTGGTACAAGAGGGTCGATGAAACTACGATGGCCATCCGGAATATTTGGTGGGTATTTCAGTTATTTAGGCTGACCCTTTCCCAGTGGGTTCAGATATTTAGGTGTAGCCCTTTCAAGTATATTCAGATATTTAGGCGCAGCCCTGTCGAGTATGTTCAGATATTCAGGTGCAGCCCTGTCAACTTGAAGTATGTTCAGATATTTAGGTGGAGCCCTGTCATGTATGTTCAGATATTTAGGTGCAGCCCTGTCATGTATGTTCAGATATTTAGATGGAGCCCTGTCAAATATGTTCAGATATTTAGGTGCAGCCCTTTTAAGTATGTTCAGATATTTAGGTGCAGTCCTGTCAAGTATGTTCAGATATTTAGGTGCAGCCCTGTCAAGTATGTTCAGATATTGTGGTGGAGCCCTTTCAAGTATGTTCAGATATTCAGATGGAGCTCTTTTAAGTAAGTTCAGATATTTAGGTGGAGCCTTTCCCAGTGGGCTTAGATATTGAGGTGGAGCCCTTTCAAGTATATTCAGATATTCAGGTGGAGCCCTTTTAAGTAAGTTCAGATATTTAGGTGGAGCCTTTCCCAGTGGGTTCAGATATTGAGGTGGAGCCTTTCCCAGTGGGTTCAGATATTTAGGTGGAGCCCTTTCAAGTATGTTCAGATATTTAGGTGGAGCCTTTTCCCAGTATGTTCAGATATTGAGGTGGAGCTCTTTCAAGTATGTTCAGATATTTAGGTAGAGCCCTTTCAAGTATGTTCAGATATTTAGGTGGAGCCTTTCCCAGTATGTTCAGATATTGAGGTGGAGCTCTTTCAAGTATGTTCAGATATTTAGGTAGAGCCATTTCAAGTATGTTCAGATATTTAGGTAGAGCCCTTTCAAGTATGTTCAGATATTTAGGTGGAGCCCTTCCCAGTGGGTTCAGATATTTAGGTGGAGCCCTTCCCAGTATGTTAAGATATTGAGGTGAAACCCTTCCCAGTGTGTTAAGATATTGAGGTGAAACCCTTCTCGGTGTGTTCAGATATTGGGCAAAACCTTTTCCAGTATGTCCAATTATTGAGGTGAAACCCTTGCCAATATGTTCAAATATTGAGGTGAAACCCTTCCCAGTGTGTTAAGATATTGAGGTGAAACCCTTCCCAGTGTGTTAAGATATTGAGGTGAAACCTTTCCCAGTATGTTAAGATATTGAGGTGAAACCCTTCCCAGTGTGTTAAGATATTGAGGTGAAACCCTTCCCAGTGTGTTAAGATATTGAGGTGAAACCCTTCCCAGTGTGTTCAGATATTGGGCGAAACCTTTCCCAGTATGTCCAATTATTGAGGTGAAACCCTTGCCAATATGTTCAAATATTGAGGTGAAACCCTTCCCAGTGTGTTAAGATATTGAGGTGAAACCCTTCCCAGTGTGTTAAGATATTGAGGTGAAACCTTTCCCAGTATGTTAAGATATTGAGGTGAAACCCTTCCCAGTGTGTTAAGATATTGAGGTGAAACCCTTCCCAGTGTGTTCAGATATTGGGCAAAACCTTTTCCAGTATGTCCAATTATTGAGGTGAAACCCTTGCCAATATGTTCAAATATTGAGGTGAAACCCTTCCCAGTGTGTTAAGATATTGAGGTGAAACCCTTCCCAGTGTGTTAAGATATTGAGGTGAAACCTTTCCCAGTATGTTAAGATATTGAGGTGAAACCCTTCCCAGTGTGTTAAGATATTGAGGTGAAACCTTTCCCAGTATGTTAAGATATTGAGGTGAAACCCTTCCCAGTGTGTTAAGATATTGAGGTGAAACCCTTCCCAGTGTGTTAAGATATTGAGGTGAAACCCTTCCCAGTGTGTTCAGATATTGGGCGAAACCTTTCCCAGTATGTCCAATTATTGAGGTGAAACCCTTGCCAATATGTTCAAATATTGAGGTGAAACCCTTCCCAGTGTGTTAAGATATTGAGGTGAAACCCTTCCCAGTGTGTTAAGATATTCAGGTGAAACCTTTCCCAGTATGTTAAGATATTGAGGTGAAACCCTTCCCAGTGTGTTAAGATATTGAGGTGAAACCCTTCCCAGTGTGTTAAGATATTCAGGTGAAACCTTTCCCAGTATGTTAAGATATTGAGGTGAAACCCTTCCCAGTGTGTTAAGATATTGAGGTGAAACCCTTCCCAGTGTGTTAAGATATTGAGGTGAAACCCTTCCCAGTGTGTTCAGATATTGGGCGAAACCTTTCCCAGTATGTCCAATTATTGAGTACCCCAGACCATTCGTCCCGGTGTTATCGCTATCGCCACACGAGACTCCAGCTTGTCTCCTATACAATTTGACTGCGCACATCCAGAAAGTAGATGTAGCTGTGATTGGTGGAATACTAATGAGTTGAGTGTCAATCAAACGCCCACGCTATCTTTAGTAAACAAAGTCACGTGACACGCGCCATTTTAGTTTTGATTAGTTCATCGGATCGGAGTGTCGGTGCTCGCCATCCATAAATCAAATCAAAATGATTTCTAATTGGAAATGGCATATTTTCATCAAACTCCTTTTCAACATCATGGTTGTTAATGTCCGTCACGTCGCTAAGTACATATGAACTGCGGTCATCATTCAAATTGAATGTGAGAAAGTTATGGAATGTCGTTTTGAACTTGAACGTGGTCGGGCAGGTTATCCCTCCTGCTTTTCCTGGCTTGAATAAATTCACACACGACTTTAACTGTCCACAAACTCGAAGACTACACGAACACAGTCTACAATAGTCGTCCGCAACAATATGTATGTATTTCTTCGGTGTACTGATGCACGAATGCA